GTGTCTGTGTGTGTGTGTGTGTGTCGTGTGTGTGTGTGTGTGTGTCTGGTGTGTGTGTCCGTTCAACTACGTTGTCGAACTACCTCACTGCACGACCCACGCGTTGAAATCGCCCGCAATGGCCAGAGGACTCTGTCAATTAGCGTAGAAATGGTCGAGAAATAGTTCAAATCATCGAAAGTAGCGTTTGGTGACGGTTGGCAGACTGCTACGTGCGAAAACACAGGGAGTGATGAACCAATTATTTTGAGCAAAGAAAGTTCAATATTGTTTTCGTTTAAAGGTCTGCATTTTTGCAATAGCCAACACGAATGCGTACAATGCATTTTGTGGAAACTAATTTTTTCCACGATTTCAGCTACTATTATAATATCACTGTTAAAAATAACTGAGAACATAAGTAGAAAGTCAATGAGTAAGGGAAGGACGAACCACATCGATAGCGGTTCACACAAGAGCCTCTTTACGCCTCTCTAAACCGTATATTTAGGATTTCTGACAGTAGAAATGTGTACTATTAATAAACATTGTTCCTTTCTATTTACATTCAGTTATAAACGAAAGTGATTTATTCTGTTTTTAATTCATTTTAAGTCTACAGTCGCGGACGTTTTGCAAAGTTTTTTTAAAAGACTTCTGCAGGGCTGTTTTAAATAGAAATTGACAATTATAATATTCATAATCATTTTAAATTCTTAAACAGTTGTATTTTTTATATTTAAATAATGGCTTATGATCTGTGGTAACAAAAAAGTGGATAAATCAATCCACGAAACAGTGAAGTTGAGTAAACTGCTTTAATGTATTAAATTTCTAATAAATGATTTATTTAGCCTACCAGTACAAATGAATTAACAAAATTTAAGGAAACCTCTCATTTTGCACATCGTTCAATACCATTACTATTTTCGGTTTATCTTGGTATAAAGTCCACACTAGGAGACATACCATCCTTTATCCTGAAAACCCATTATATTCTAATGAAACATCTGTGACTCATGTGCATTTTTGTTTATTTTTCAGATTACGTGTATTTCGAAACGTCGTCGACATCACCGTACCAGATAAGGAGAATTGAAGAGTTGAACAAGGTACGTGTGCGTGAAGAAAGCGAAAATTCTGCCAGTGAATAGTGAAATAGGAATTCTCCGAATTCCATTTTCATTTATCATTGCTTGTATTATGTAATAAAACTAAAGTATACGAATGTAGTTGCTTATCAAATATTTATAAAATAAGAAACAAACGTTTTAATCTTAGTGAATACCGCGTATGGGCTGCACTACTATAACTACTAGTCGATAAATGTGAGGAGGAAAATATGTTTAAACGTTTTTACCGACTGTTGAAAGGCAGAGATCACACGCTAAATAATTCATGGGTTATGAGTAAGCATTACTATTGCGCACCTAAGGAATTGTTAATAATAATACTTATTATTTTCATTGTAATGTAATAAAACAAGTCATAACTCCATACAGTAATCTCTCAACTTCTGCGAATTCGCTATTCACGAGTTTCAAACATTCGCGATTCGAGAAATGCTAGCGATTTATTTATTTGTTTACGTCAAAAACTGTTAAAAACTGTGTATGACGTGCTATGGGGAGAAGTTAATTTGAAGTTGCATTTATGTCCAGAAGCAAACTGAGGGGCCATCTCAGCGTGTGCTCGAGGATCAGGGAAACTGGACGAAAACCTGATCGAGATAAGGGTCATTGACCCAGAAGCTGAAGTACAATACTTGTTACAGGTTCTTTACAATTATACAATCCAAATAATATATAATACATTAAATTTCGTTTTAAAATTAATATTACTTTCATTTTGGATGCGGTTTTGACATTCGCGACTTCAACATGCGCTAGTGCGTCATGTGATCGTAGTATATTTTTCTTGGGGGGGGGGGAGGTGATCCCACTCGAAGCATTACGTTCTGCAAAAATGTCAAGTTGGTTTGTCATTTCATATTAATAGAATGTCACAATTGTGAAGTAATTCAATTCAGTTGCGCCAAACTGGAGATAAGGACTTTGACAACATGTACATAACCTATATGAATTTTCTGTTTAACTCTTTACTCATTGGTGAGGAGTTGTGGGAAGTCATCAGTGAGAGAAAAAAAAAGAAGAAAAAAAAACCTCCTGCAACTTGGTGATAAAGTAACGGAAGAAAAACTGCGTTCTCGAGCAACTTCAGTGTTAAAACCTTTAGTGTTAATGACGTTCTAGAACTGTAACACGTTCTTGTGGAGGGGGCACTCGAATGTGAGGTGAACTTGTACATTAATTTGAAATTTAAGAGAGAAATAGAAGCAGCAACTCTTCCATGTTTTGAGATTAAGGCAATGAGGAGGTCGATGAAACAATCAAAAATAACCAAATACTATGTCCAATGAGTTGCAACTTTCATCTGCAATATCATTCACATATTAGGTTGTTAATTGACAATTGTTTTAGTGTTAACTCAGTTCTACTGCCATTGTTTGTCAGTTCCTTTTTAAACAGTTTTTCGTTATCAAGGAACCTAACCCATCTTTCTTTATTAAAATGTGGATTCAACATTCACAATTTTTTGGGGGAACTTTACTCTCGCGGATGTTGAGGGATTACTGTATTAATATTTTTTAGAGTTGTGCCAAAGTTGAAGCGCTTCAATGTTATCATATAGGAAGTCCAAAAGAAGTTACGAAAACAATTTTTGAATGACTGTGTAATTATATAAGGTCTGTTGTATACGGTTACTACCCTCGCAGTCAATAATGCTCTGTTACGTTATTTGTGTCCTTGCAGACTCCGAACGGAAATGTGGAAGCTAAGGTCATGTGTTTCTTCAGAAGGCGTGATTTGCCGAACACTCTCATCATGTTGGCCGACAAGCATCAAAGTGAGTTTTGATGCTTAATGTTATTTACTCATGAAGTTAATTTGGAATGTCATTTTATTTTTCATAGAAATGGGTGGTATATTGGGGGAGAAGGAGCGTTAAACGTGAATCGTCTGGTGATGGCTTTGTTGGTTTAATATGGGATTGTTTTACAATTTCTCATTTATTACATTCAGATCCTCAATCTTCCCCTTTATTTTTCTCCACAAGAAAAGTAGGTTTGACAGGGAAAGATCGTTTGTTAAAAGAATTTTGAGTAGAATAGAGGATGAAAGGTGGAGGACTTATAAGTACAGCAATAAGTATATCGTGAAAATAGTACTTAATGTACTTATAAGTAAAAAGAGTGCTAGTGGCAAAACTTGTGATTACAGAATCAATTTTGAAATAATGTGGGGAAAATTACCTTTAACTGAGCGGGGTGGGAGAATTCAAATGAATCATATTTTTATAAAAGTACTAACATACATTTTGGAAGTACTTAAGTACAAATATGCAAAAACCTATTGGTAGGAATTGTGTACTTAAGTACATAATATCATAAAAGTTAAATTCTTACGGTTTTTTGTTGATTCAAAAGTGGAGAATCACTTAACTAATAGTTCCCTTTGTAATTCTTTTATGTCGCGACACTTGAGATGCATGTTTAATAGGTTGGCTTGTTTTAAGAGGGAATGAATGGTTATTTCGGAGGCATGGATGTAGCATGTGTTAGGTATGGTTGTAGTCTTCTCACATTTGTGTGCATGAAACACTATTTGTTACTACTAATGTGGAAAACGTGAATTGCGATTGTCGTGAATGGAAAACATACTGTTAAATTAATTCTCGATAGAATTTGGAAAATGCCGCCGCAAAATTCGTAAGGCGTAAATAGATCGATTTGTGGCTGTAATGAACGGAGAGGATGCAGGTGAACCACGCTAGATCTTCGGACGCACATGACTCACAGTTTTTGGGGCGATGGCTTACTTTTCGTTGGATGGTGTAGCTAATTTCGTTGGATGGTGTAATTGTTTTTTCACTGTACAAGTAATGTATCATATTGCGAATTTCGACATGAAATAAAATAACATGCTAAGGTATTGTTTAGCACGTCCAAAAAATATGGAAAAAGTGCTAACGGGAAGGGAAATCTGAATTTGCAAATTGCATATTGGTTATGAGGGCCTGCAAGCAGTCTTACTCTCGGCCCATCTGCAAATGCGTGTCATTTCTGTAGCCTCCCCTTCCTAGTGGGCGTCTACAGTTTTTAGTCGCTTTTTGCGTGCACCCTCTCCCCTGGTGGAGGTGATCGATTCTCGCGCTCGGCCCCCACCGTTCGAAGCCTGTTGCGAGCTGTGCGCGAAAAATCCGCTTGCGTTTCCACCTCGCAACTACCCCCTCCCCTCCATCCCCCGTTCGATAGAACGAAAATCATCGTAAATATTTGCAGCGTGTTGCGCGCGGCACTGATTGCGTGCGCGCGCGCACGCGCGCGTCAGTGAATGCGTGTGCCGGCGACTGGCGAGCGGGATTTTGCTCGCGCTGTCGAACGAAGAGTTTCACTAAGTGTCTACAATTTTGTTCGTTCGAACTATATAAAACTAACTGCACCACTGGTGCAGAAATCTCCGGTAGTGTTCGGAAATGTCAATTGACCATTTAATAATCGAAACCTGTTAATCAATAATATGAAATAAGCAATGCCGGTTGAAAAAAATCGTAAACGCTCCAAATTTACTGTGTAGGAGAGCGAGCGTGGTAAAGAGCGGTAGAGAGCGAGAGAACGTGCGCGAGCGAGTGCGACATGAAAAATTTGATATTTGAATTGCGTATATATGTAATTAGATGTGAGTTATTTGAGAAAAACGAGGGTGAGTTTTCTGTAGGCCACGCAACCGGGCTTCATCACATACATTATGTTACTTGATGAGCTTTCCTGACCAAAAATGCGAAATGTATTGTTTCTTCGAATATATACTTTATTCCTCATATGAACTGATCAGTAAACTAAATAGTTAAAAGATTAACATGGTTGTTCAGAAATTAACATTTAAATATCAAAATCAAATTTTGTGATCATAAAATTATAATTTATCACAAGTCTTAATCATTGGAAGCTGATCTTAACCACTGGAACTGAAAAAATGGTACTACTAGGGGCCGCCACTTCTGAAGTGGTGTTGGTGATAATGATTTAGAATGATCACTCCCTGTTGAGTTGTATACAAACATCCCTCTTCGCGGAGGTTGGCGCAGTCTGAGCTACATTTTCTTATTGAGTAGTGAAGGATTTCTTCCATTGATAGCATAGGCTCATGAAATTAGTTTCTAACTTTCAGTTGATAAATATACCCGTACGTTCAGCCAGTGTACGTCCATTACCCTGTAGTATTTCTTGGAAACGTAATGGCTGGAAACCACAGAGACGTCACACCTTCTGAGAATCGCCATTTACTTTGCCCATTCTACGCTTCGAACCCGCGCGAGCAGTGGGGGGCGAGATATCTGAATGCGAGTTGATTTTCCAAGAAAATGAAAGCTTGTCCCACGGAAGGAAGTGGTCAGCAATTGTCAGCGCAAGGGGAGAATTTGATTTACCAGAAATAACGGACATCTGGTGCAAATTTATAGATTTTTGACGGAACCCAGGTGTACGTAACTGAAAATTTGGAAGAACATATCACTTCATTCATACGAGTCGTGTATAATTTTTCAGACACCCCCCACAATTGCCCACGCAACTTTTTACTGAAATATTGCACGTTTTTGGTTATTACAATGCATCATGATGGATAGGAAATTTCGGTAATGCGTGTTTGACGAAATGTTTTCCAGAGGAAATGTTACAATTATTCGTTTATAAACGTGTTCTAATGTTTATTGTTGTGTGCATTTCGAAGATTGTTTAAATAAATTGTCAATTATTCGTTAAGAATATTGGTAATAATGAGGAAATGAGTGATTATCGAACATTGAACTATGATTTAGACGGAACACAACCGAGAAATCACTACCTTGTCGAAGTGTTTCTTGATTTTTAGAGTTCTTTCGAAAGTAAGGAAGTGTAGTAGGTGATCATTCTATTATTTTGAAGTTTTATGGGGAGACTTCGATATTCTCATCGCATTATACACATAGATTTTCCCATTGCTTTGACGAGGCTTTCAAATCATAATCTAAAAATGAAGAGAACAGGAGACTAGTCTAAGAGCAACCCAGCCACCCATGCTCGAAATACTGAAACCACTTAATGATATCCAGAATAGGAAAAGCTTTTCTCGTATTTCATTCCTTCTGCGATGGGCTGTCGTTAGTAGTTTCTACTCAGACAGCATCTTTGCTTTACGATGTGTTCCTAGTTCGGGACCTGGCTACTGATCAGTAGGAGATGACCATATCTTCCCACTTTTCAGACATTTGACCTTGCTCGAAACGTTGCAACGACGCCAGAAGAGTTTTGCTCGGAACTGGCATGGCGAGTTGGACCGCTTGTTTTTTAATTTTGTTTATGAAATTAATAAATTCTTCGAAATCCTGAACAAGGTTTTAGTTTTTGCAAGAACGTAGGATGTCTGCAATCGACCACATTTCAGGACCTTGGAGGAAGGAAATTGTGCCACATTGTTTTGATTTATATTTTTTTCTTTCGGAACATCAGATTGTTAATCAAGGGTTGTTGCTCACTAAGCCTAAAAAAAGTGAACTACTGCTCCCCGTGTGAACGGGTTCTTCTCGGATACTGTAATAAGTTTTAAGTTTCTTTGGATGGGTATGTGCTGTAGTGTAATCTCAAAATGAGTAAATTTGTCGTGCTCAATGAGTAACGCAGGAGATCATGGGGCTTAAGAGTGTAGCAACTTCGTATCGAGAAAAGTCTTCTGTGCTGTTATCAGAAGTTTGTCTTCGTTGTTAAAGTTAGACTAGGGGAAGGGGTATGACCGTACGCGTCATTTCGACATTGCGATGCTTTTATTTGACCGTTTACACTACATAAAACTCACTGTTCTTCGTGCGACAACTTGGGGATTGTGAACTTTGAGCTCGCGATAGCAATTTTGTAGTAAGCACGTCCCTTGTTTATCTATTACCGACAAGTAGTCCATATCGAATATCGAGGTAAATTGATTTGTCGTTTTATTTTCCCATTTCGAAATGGAACTAAACAGAGACATGATAGATGGCACGATCGGTACGTGGTACATGTCGCCTCACGGGATCCCTTCTCACAGGAACGCCTCCTTTCATACGTGGCAGGACGAAGTGAAATGATTCACAGACGCACGTATTGTTTCCTTGAACGTTCGTTGGGTCGCGTTTGGACCCTGGCGGCGGCGGACCGCGCGTGAATATGTATTAGGTAAAGGCCTCCCCCTCGCTCGGGCGCTGGTTTCTCCCGCGACTTGCAACGCCCGACGGCCTCAGCCGGTACCACCACGTGCGTGCATTATCAAGGACTCCGCTGCTAGCAGCAGGAAAAGCGGGATGAGGAAAATAAGTTGGCAGCTTCCGATCAAAGGAAGTTTCCGGCGGGACGAGCTACGAGACTCGGAGACCTCGGAAGGCCGGGCGACAGTGCCCGGTTACGAACCGGGCGACATTGGACGAAAATGAACGCGTGTTGCTTGGCGGCCATGAATGTTTGATGCGAGGAAATTCCACTTCCAATTCAATATATCACAGTGGTCCGTAATTAGGCCGCTTGCAGCGTATGGCACGTGTGTCTTAGTGCAATAAGCGATATGGAATTTCACGTCACAGGTGGTTGTCTGTGACAGTACACGCATTTTAAAGTCTGTAGTAAATGTTCTGTTCGAAACATTGTTTTCACAATCCATTGTTAATCATAGTTTGTACTATTTTGTTTCGCTAGCATTGAAAGTGCTTCCTATGATAGGACTCGTATAATTCAGTTACAACCAGTGTACAGCAAATCCCAAAGAATTTAGGAGCAATGATGTTTACAAGCTCCTGAATCGTGAATTCTGAAGAGGTACACTAATTTATTAACTGCCAAA